CAACTGATCACCAATGTAAGGGACATTCCTCCCACTTATCACCAATGTAAGGGACATTCTTCCCACTGACCCCCAATGTAAGGGACATTCTTCCCACTGACCAGCCTCCAATGTAAGGGACATTCTTCCCACTGATCTAAAATGTAAGGAACATTCTTCCCACTGATCACCAATGTAAGGGACATTCTTCCCACTGATCGCCAATGTAAGGAGCATTCTTCCCACTGACCGCCAAAGTAAGGGACATTCTTCCCACCGACCGCCAATGTAAGGGACATTCTTCCCACCGACCGCCAATGTAAGGGACATTCTTCCCACCGACCGCCAATGTAAGGGACATTCTTCCCACCGACCGCCAATGTAAGGGACATTCTTCCCACCGACCGCCAATGTAAGGGACATTCTTCCCACCGACCGCCAATGTAAGGGACATTCTTCCCACCGACCGCCAATGTAAGGGACCCACTGACCGCCAACGTGAGGAGCATTCTTCCCACTGATCGCCAATGTAAGGGACATTCTTCCCACTGATCACCAATGTAAGGGACATTCTTCCCACTGACCACCAATGTAAGGGACATTCTTCCCACTGACCCCCAATGTAAGGGACATTCTTCCCACTGATCACCACGCTAATGTAATGTAAGCTGAGGGTATAGTAAAAGGTGGCAGGGGTTCCCGAAGACCTGAAAGTTGTTTCAAGGGTTCCTCCTTATGAAAAAGGTTGAGAAACGCTGCCTTAGGACCTGTATTGGTGGGCTTCTGTTTGCATCAGAACTGCTATTCTCTCAATACAAATCAGTGGGAATGAAAAAGCTGCTTGATGCATCTAAAAGCTCCAATTACACTTAATGCGACCTGGGAACGTGTGCAATATTGCAAGCGTTTCCACAGCACACTATTCTCTAGTAGCTGCATTGTGGTGCCATTCATTCTTAATGGCACCAGCCAAAACACATATGCAAAATCATTCCACAATGCATGGAAACTTGCTGCATGGTACTGTAGTGTGATGCAATTGAAAACAAAGGTGCCCGCACTTCTTTTGTGTGATCGTCACACAGAGGGCTGACCATTGAAATTAACTGGCTGTCCTAATTGAGACGCACCTAAACAGGGCAGTGACATCATGATCTCCACCTGGACCAATCAGAGAACAGGGTGACTTCCGGTGTTCAGAATGCAGCAGGGCAGTCACTCAGCCCAGAAGCTGCTGGAGATCACTGTAGTAGCGGTACCTATGTCAGCGATTTTCACCTTTCCTTAGGGATCCTACCAGGGGCGGACTGACCATTTGGAAACTCTGGCACTGCCCAAGGGCCCAGGGTCAGTAGGGGGCCCCATGAGATGCCCCTGGTACCTTTTTCATAGGCTTTTTTGAGTTTGGGCAAGAACACAGGGGCCCCATGATCCCCTATTGCCCGGGGGCCCCATGTGTTGTCAGTCCGCCCCTGGATCCTATAGGTATGACCCATTCATACTTGATAGAGTAGATTGGTCCAATGTAACTTTACAAGAATTGCCATACCTGGAATTCAGCTTTAAATCACCACTAAGTGGCCTGAGATACTATATTGTGCAGAATTCCGGCCCACCGTGCCATTAGTTGGCAGAACTCCATCCCACCGTGCCATTAGTTGGCAGAACTCCATCCCGCCGTGCCATTAGTTGGCAGAACTCCATCCCGCCGTGCCACTAGCTGGCAGAACTCCATCCCGCCGTGCCATTAGTTGGCAGCAGAACTCCATCCCGCCGTGCCATTAGTTGGCAGAACTCCATCCCGCCGTGCCATTAGTTGGCAGAACTCCATCCCGCCGTGCCATTAGTTGGCAGAACTCCATCCCGCCGTGCCATTAGTTGGCAGAACTCTGGCCCGCCGTGCCATTAGTTGGCAGAACTCTGGCCCGCCGTGCCACTAGCTGGCAGAACTCCGGCCCGCCGTGCCCTTAGTTGGCAGAACTCCGGCCCGCCGTGCCCTTAGTTGGCAGAACTCCGGCCCACCGTTGCATTTGTTGTGCTATGGCGCACAATACCAGAAATAGCAGTCATTACATTTTAAAAAATTTGTGCGTTGATTTGTGTCACAATTTTCTCACAGAGATAATTACATAAAATGACTGCCAACACCTGCACAATGCTGTGAAGATATTTCAGGATTAAGGTGTAAATTGTATGAAAGCACCACTCCACCCCAAAGACAATTTGTACCTGTCACAGGCACCCCCCTCCCCCGCAGAAGACAACCTTGTCTCCGGAGAAGGGTGACAAAAGTAGGGAAAGTGCAAATCATGTGCTAGTCTGTTCAGTTCCTCCATAGGACAGTCCTATCCTCATAATAGAGCCGACCCTAGTATAGGATTACGTATGCAATGGCTGCCTGCATGTTCCTATCCTTGGCATCGGACTCCAGAGAAGGGCAGGGCAGCCATATTGTACGGTCAACCAATAGATAGCCTTCAGCTTTGCTAAGTGATGCTCTTCTTTTCTTTTCTTTTTTTTTTTTTTTTTTTTCTCCAAACTGTGCCATGTAGAACTGTTCTATTGTCCAGCCCAAACTGGTTTTTGTTTTGGATAAAATGAGGACGGATTCCTGTCAGCCTTTTTATTGCCTTCTTTGTCCCCAGTGGTGAGATTTCCTCTGACTTCTGCAAATGTCAGAACAGGAAGCAAACAGAAATCTCATGTAAAAGCTTCCAGAGGTTCTAACTTTTTTTACACCCATCACTTTAACCCCTTCACACCTAAGGGTAAAACAAATCTAAATGCCTAAGCACAATTTTGCAACGTTGACCTGTGTTAGTAAAACCGTCCATATCATCGCAACTACTTCGTACATCCAGGTGGATTATAGCGCGTTTTTTTCAGGACAAATTGGGCTTTAATTTGATGGTAAATGGTAATGGATATCTCCTGATTTTTTTTTTTTTTTTAATCAAAGGAAAACTGGCCCAAAAAAGTAAAAAAAAAATCTATTTTTAAAATTAGCAGTGTGTTTCTTGTTACTACCATAACCTACCACCAAAGAACAACCCAAAATAAATGTTCCATTTCTTGATGATCGCAGCGATACCATATATGTGTATGTTATTTGTACCCGTAGTACAGCCCAGAAACAATAGTGTACATTTAATTTTTTGTTTTATTTTTACCTAAAACACACCGACACCAATTAAAAAAAAAATTAAAATCCTGACCTTTTGACCTTAACCTTTGACCCTGACCCAAACACTTACCCTGGCAGTGAACTAGATCAAACCTTTGATCTAGGTATTTTTTATTTATTTTTTAATATTTATCTTTTTATTTTTTTAACAAACCTTTATTTTTCTCTATGCAAGGAGTTAGAGAGATGCAATGTATCTCTCTCCTCCATTCATAGAGAAAAAAAAACAAAGGGGGGCGGGCTATACAGTGACTGATCACTGTGATAGCCAATCAGAGACTATCACAGCAATCATATGACCCAGAATCGGGAGTCCCGGGTCCTGATCATTAGAACAGGACTCGGGGCTCTCAGTGACACCCTGGTCTTTGTGCTGGGAGCGCTCTCTGTGGCGTGCTCCCAGCAGAAAGACAGGTACGCAAATATGTGGCCCCACGGAAAAAAGCCCAGTTCTGTGTGGCCACATATTTGTGTGATGTTGGCGCAAAGGGGTTAAAGTTTAAAATAGATGCCCTCAATAGTGGTGCAATTTTGTACGACTTGTACTACAGTGTTAGTTTTTTTTCCCTTTATCTCTAAGGACAAACCTCCCACCTCAGGATACAGCCTGGTACTAGGGCCTAGGAGCTCCTTCACATAGTAGTTTATAGGGGGAGTTTAGCAGATTCTGACCTCCACCAGGTGCCCCCCAACCAAGGGTTTGGATACCATAAACTGACCAAATGGCTCGGTTCACATAGGAGTGTTTATTTCTCTGTACCATAGGATGCTCGGGTTGTTTCTTCGACACCAGAATGGGTGTTGGATGCAAATCCAGCTTGAGCCATGTGAGCCTGGCCTAATGGTACAGCTGTGTCCCAACAATCGTCCCATCCCAATGACCTCCATACCATGCCGGTCCTCTCTCTGAACCTCGCATAACTCTTTACTTATTTAATGAAGGGAGGAAAAGGAACCACACTTCCATCCCACCATCCAGAAGTTAATTAGCTAAATGGGTCAATCCATCTTGAAGCTGTGCAAATAAGTCAGGCAGACATTAGCTCAAAGCTTCTAACTAGGTATCATTTGTCAAAAAGATGGGTCTTGCCTGAAGCTTTAACCACTTAACTGCTACATTCGTATTACAAAGCCTCAGGTCGCCTACTAAACAAAAAAAAAAATCTGTATATATATCATATCATTTAATGGATAACTATATTTTTATATGCATATCATAAAACACAAGAAACAGATTTTATTCTCAGATAATTAAACTTCTTCTGGCCGATCATTCAGTCCACTAAAATGTCTTCATTATATGCACAGGGCAACTGATCCTTGACCTTATATTTAGGGGGTGCTGAATGTAAATGGCGCACGTTAGGAATGAATGAATGTGTGCCTCCTGTTTGTGTAGCTACATGCAGTCATCAGAGGTTTGATGTTAATGCCTTTCCTTCTCTTTCTGGCAGAGACTTGATGCCACGGACTCTCGATGGCCAGATTACCATGGAAAAGACTCCCAGTTACTTTGTGACCAAGGAGGCCCCAGCCCGTATTTCGGCCATGTCGAAGGACGCCAAGCTTATCGTGGTGGTGAGGGACCCAGTGACTCGAGTCATATCGGATTATACCCAAACGTTATCCAAGAGGCCGGACATCCCCACTTTCGAGAGCCTGACGTTTAAAAACAGGACTACGGGTCTTATCGACATTTCATGGAGTGCCATCCAGATTGGCATCTATGCCAAGCACTTGGAGAACTGGCTCCAGTATTTTCCTATGAGCCAGATCCTGTTTGTGAGCGGGGAGAGACTGATCACCGATCCCGCAGGAGAACTGGGGCGCGTTCAGGATTTTCTAGGGCTCAAAAGGATCATTACAGACAAACATTTTTATTTCAATAAGACTAAAGGTTTTCCTTGCCTAAAGAAGGCAGAAGGGAGCAGCAAACCCCACTGTTTGGGAAAAACCAAGGGCAGGACTCACCCCAACATTGACCCTGAAGTGGTCCAGAGACTACGGGAATTCTACAGGCCATTTAATATGAAGTTCTACCAAATGACTGGGCACGACTTTGGCTGGGACTGAAGGTTCATCAGAGGTCCCAGCTTTAAACGAAGCTAAACACATGTTTGTATGTGTGCCTGTATAAATGTACAGAGATCTATTTTATTATAATTTATTTGTAATTCCTAAGCAATTAATTCACTAAGCTGCCTAACCACGTGGTTCCTTGTTTGCCCATAGTGTTAACATTCCATCATGTATAACCCTCGAATTTATGGAGATCAGTATCAAAGGGTTATCCATCTCCATTTTACATATCTGTTAATGGTGCTCCTGCTGCAATCATGTTTTGAGGGGGGGGAAAAAGATGAAAAGCACAATAATATCTTGGTATTTTATGTTTACGGGTATTGACATCTTTCACGCACGCTT